ATTTAGGTTTGTAAGGCTAGCTTTAAAAGAAAATGAACCTCCAACGTTGTTGTTTCCAATGACTGGTTAGAGTCACTAAATAGGTAATGATCTAAGCTAATGTCATTGCCCATATCCCCAGGCTGTTTATTCTTTTCCCCCTAAAATTAACAGAACTCAAGACAAGGGAATCAAAATGACCTCAGAATTGTGAAAAGGGCAAAACCAGGCAACTACTTTAAGATTCTAGGTAAACAGAAAGAGAAGAATCTGTGGTCTTACTGGTGTACACAGACAGAGGTTGACCACCTTTATAGATCTCTGCTTATCTCTTCAGATCAGTTCAGTCCAATTTGCATTATTAAATACCTATGATGTTCCAGACACTGTGCTAAGCACTGGAAATTTAAAAAAAGAAAACCATTCCTATCCTCAAGGAGCTCACATTCTGCTGGGGAAAAAAAAAGTATATAGGTAAGTAAATGAGAAATATACATGATATAATACATATCAATACAAAACAATTTTGGATGGAAGAATTAACAATTGGGGCAGGGGGAGAAAAGGACAGGATTCCAGGAATGGCACTTGAGCTGAGTCTTGAAGGGAGTTAGGCATTCCAAGAGGTAGAGGTGAGGATAAAGAGCGTTCCAGAATTGGGGTAAGGATGTGAAGATGAGGGATGAGAGACAAAATACAACATATGAACATAAAAGGCAAGTTTGGTTATAACACAGGGTGTATGAAGGACAGATGAATATATTCATGGGTTCATTGCTCTGTATCACCTCCTTATATCCTGGGGGCATGGTTTGAGCCTATGGTGCTTATACCACAAAGTAGTATAAGGAGGAACTGAGAAATAGGAAATAAGTGCTTTTGGCTTCCTTCCTTAGTAATGGTTTGGTGATCAGGGCAGAAGTGAAGCTAAGACAAAGCAACAGAGTCCTGTAGCAACTTCTTTCCTTCCCCTTCCATAACTCTTTATCACCCTTCATCACTCTCTATTAGTAGGTATGCTAGCTGTGCCAGATTTTCATTGTCTAGGATTCTCATAAACCTGGCTCCAAAGAATCAATACATACAAATCTATATAAACCTCATAAGGAACTGGGACAAAGATAAGAAAAATTGCAAAACCTTTTTGGGGAAAACACAGTTTTTCCAAGAGTTAATTTCTAGATTGGGCATAGGGGTTGTGATGGGGGTGGTTGTGTCATCATACTATGATAGGAATTCTCGAGGCAAATTGTCTTGAATTGGGGAAAAAAAAGGATGATTGGGGTAGGTGTGATTTTATTAGAGCTGAGATGTGTTTCTAGCTCATACAAGGACTTAGACATTGAGTAATTCCTAATATTAAAAATGTGTGCTCAACTACAATGATGTAAAAGAAAAGAATTAAAGAAATGAAATGGAATGCTGTAAGTTGCAAGAAGAGGAGAAAATGCATCTTCTTGCCTTTTCTGTAGATGTGGGGGAGGGTCATAGATGTAGAAACATTGAATGTACTGTCAGATT